TAATGTCTCTATCTGGTTTTGATTTTATAGTACAGTAATGCTGCTCATGAATGAATTAGAAGCATTCCTTCTGCTGTCTTCTGGAAGAGACTGTAATGAATTTGTCTAACTTCTTCCTTAAATTTGTTATAGAATTCACCAGTGATCTCATCTTGGCTTGCTGCTTGCTGATTGGAAGCCTGTCTATTTAATTTCTTTAATAGAAAAACACCTTTGTCAGTTAAAAATAATGTTCACATTGTCTGTTTGTTCCTGTACAAGTTTTAGTGAATTGATTATTTGAAGGAAATGTTCTATTTCACCTGGGTTACTTACTTTTGGTGGCTAGAGCTATCCACAGAACCTAAGATGGGATACTTTCATTACTTATATTTGTAATTTTTATATTTTATCATTTTTTCTTCAACCTACTTAGAGGCTAATTTGCTCTATAGATTTTTTCAAAGAACCTACTTTTGGTTTATCTAATTTTATAAAATTTGGGGTCTCTGAACAACTACTGGAGCAGAGCAGATAAGTAAAATTATCAGTCAAGGAAACCCTCCATTTACATAAAATAAAATATTTGAATTGCTATACAAGAAGGGTACACTAACTGTTAGAGAAAACAAGACAAATGAGTTCCAGGCCATTATATTTAGGGAGAAGAGGACTTTGAATGAGACATCTACATAGCACTATTTTCTAGTACAAGGAAACACCATTGTATTTTTAAGATATTCAAGAAACTATGAGTAAAGGAAATTCTACCCAGTCAAATTGTCCATCATGTTTAAAGACAGACAACCTTTGAGTAATTGTCAAGAACTCAAGACACTATTCCCATTACCACTTTTTGGGTAATCTAAAGGAATTATTTGCAAAACATCTGAGGAAAAATGGAAACACTTCAGAATAAATTCAGGTGGATTTCACTGACCATAACTTCACTATAAAAAACACAACGTAAATAAAGATGAGGGAACTGGACATGGTGGCACATGCCTGTAATCTCAGTACTTGAGAAGCTGAGGCAGGAGGATTGCCATGAGTTCAAGGCCAGCAGAGGCTACATAGTGAGCTCAAGGCCAGGCTGAACTATATAGCAAGACCCTGTCTGGAAAAAACAAACAAAGAAACAAAAAACACCCCAAAATAAAAGTAAATAGGGATGAGGGATCAAATATGTATAAAGTGCTTTGTATTTTGCAAAGTGAATTTATATATGGTATTTAATTTTATTTTCATAATAATTTTGAGGGTGAAGGAGTAAAATATTACCCTCTGTTTTATAGGGTAAGCAAGAGTAATTGACCCTCATAAATTCATACAATCAGGAAATGGCAAAAGGGGCTTGATCGCAAGTCTTCTATTTGGGAAGCTGTAAAGATAGGAATAAAAGTGAGGTCAGGATGGAGAGTGGAATCGCTTTGCCAGTAAGGAGGTTGACCTATGTAGAATGTAAAAGAAAAAAAGAAAAAAGAAAGAGAAAAGAAAAAAGACTATTTTCAAAAGGCAATTTGAACCCAACTCTTTAGGGCTTTAACAACTTGGAAAAATTTTAAAATACCTCAGCAGAGAAGTGATATCGTGGTAGGAATATTGAAGAGGTTAATTTCTAAAGTCAGCTTGCAGAAATAAGTGAACAAGGGACTTTAGCGGTGGCGATTACTGAGAGGATGACTCACTGGCTCTGTCTAGATTGCTTATTTTCTAGACAAAAATAGCAGTGAAAAATTTAAAAGTAAAAATAACTGTCTGCATCTTTATAGCTCACTTCATATGAGCCTATTAAATTGTTGGCAAAATAGCTCTCAACTGTGTATCAGGTAATCTGTGGACCAAAAGAATAAGACACTGAGGAAATGACTTTGGACAGATGTGATCCTCATAGATGCTACCTTTGAGAATCCACAAACTTTATGCCGTGGCAGGATCAAGTAATAAGTTTGATGAACATTGCATACAATAGCAAGAAAACATACAGAATCAAGATGGTTCTAAATGTTTAAGTCTAGGAGTCTTAAGCATGGAGAAATTAGAATCTCTTTGTCACTGTCTTCATTATCAAAAGTAGTGCAACAGTGCTGATAATTCCTCTTGTGTTAAATTTAAAATTCAGCAAAATTCACCTATGGAAAAATGCATAGATATTAAAACGAAAGTAATAGCTATACTTTGAAACATCTTTATTGTAAAAATTCAAGGAAATGAAATATATAGGGAAGTAATTACAATGGAGTTATACATTTCTACCTATAGCTCCAGCAAACAAGAGTAGAAAAAAAGGGAAAAGATTCAGTGTTTGAAGAGACAATGGTCATAAATTTTTCAGGATGAATGAAAGACATTTATATATATATATTTATATATCCTGATAATATACATAATGCAATGAGAAAATATTTCTAATTTTCATATAATTTCCCAATATTTTTCCATTTTAAAGTTTAAGTATTTTTATCAAGGTACAAAATATACTGTTTTGCATTTTTTGAAGAGAAAATTAAAGTACATGATGTGTTTTGGAAGTTACAAATTACTCTATATTTTGAACTTATTTTTAATTCCTTTCTGATACAAGGCTTAGATAGGTTTTAGAAAGATCATAGCAGTCACTCCATGTTCAGCTCAGAGCCTATTTTATGTTAATGGAAATCGTCAGGTCCCTTATTCACTGATATATATTTCTATGTATAAAATAAAAATGGATGGGGCCGGGGATTTAGCTCAGCCGTTTGGTGGCCTGACTTGCAAGTGCAAGGACCCAAGGT